CTCTCCATTTATCATGATGCTGCTTACTGGTCTGGTTGTGAGGATTTCCATTTTCTGTATATTGAGGTGTAATCCATACTGAAGACTTGTTTATTCTTCATCAGGAAGTGCTTCAAGTCACCTTCCCTTTCAGCAAGCAAGGTTGTATCTTCTGCATGTCGCAGGTTGTTAATGAGTCTTCCTCCAATCCTGCTGCTGTGTTCTTCTTGATACAGTCTGACTTCTCAGATTATTTGCTCAGCACACAGATTGAATCAGTATGGTGAAAGGCTACAACCCTGACTCACTCCCTTCCTGATTTTAAACCGTGCAGTGTCCCCTTGTTCTATTCAAACGACAGCCTCCAGGTCTATGTACAGGTTCCTCAGGAGCACAATGAAGTGTTTTGGAATTTCCATTCTTCTCAGTGTTATCTGTAAGTTATTATGATCCACACAATCAAATGCTTTTGCATAGTTAATAAAACACAACTAAATATCTTTCTGGTATTCTTTGCTTCTGGCCAAGATCCATCTGACATCAGCAATGATATCCCTCATTCCACATCCTCTTCTGAATCAAGCTTCCATTCCTGGAAGTTCCCTGTCAACAAACTGCTGCAACAGTTTTTGAATTATCTTAAATAAGATTTTCCTTTCATGTGATATTAATGATATTGTTTGATAATTTCCACATTCTGTAGGATCACATTTTTTGGGGATGGGTACAAATTGGATCTCTTGCAGTCAGTTGGCCAGGTAGCGGTCTTCCAAATCTTGGCACAGATGAGTAGTGCCTCCAGGGTGGCATCCGTTTGTTGAACCATCTCAGTAGGTATTCATCAGTTCCTGGGGGCTTTACACCGGTTCCTCCAGTGCAGCTTCAACTTATTCCTTCAGTACCATTAGTTCTTGATTATATACTACCTCCTGAAATGGACGAACATTGACCAGTTCTTTTTGGTACAGTCAATCTGTGTATTCCTTCCATTTTCATTTGATGTTTCCTGTATCATTCAGTATTTTACCCACAGAATCTTTCAGTGTTGCAACTCGAGGCTTGAATTTTTTTCTTCAGTTCTTTCAGCTTGATAAATGCCAAGTGTGTTCTTCTCTTTTGGTTTTCTAACTCCAGGTCTTTGCACATTTCATTATAATGATTGGCTTTGTCTGCTCGAGCTGCTCTTTGAAATCTATTCAACTCTTTCATTTTTTGATTTCTTCCATTTGCTTTAGCTACTCACCGTTCAAGAGCAAGTTTCAGAGTCTTTTCTGACATCCATTTTGTTCTTTTGTTCCTTTCCTCTCTTTTTAATGACTTTTTGCTTTCTTCATGTATGATGTTCTTGATGTCATCCCACAATATGTCTGGCTTTTCGTCACTGGTGTTCAGTGCATCAAATCTATTCTTCAGATGATCTATAAACTCAGGTGGGATACACTCAAGGTCATATTTTGGCTCTCATGGACTTGTTTTAATTGTCTTTGGCTTCAACTTGAACATATGAACAATTGATGGTCTGTTCCAGAGTCAGCTCCTAGCCTTGTTTTGGCTGAAGATACTGAGCTTCTCCATCACCTCTTTTCTACAGATGTAGTCTGTCTGATTCCTGTGTATTCTATCTGGTGAGGTCCACATGTATAGCTGCCATTTATGTTGTTGAAAAATGGTATTTGCAATGAATAAGTTATTAGTCTTGCAAAATTCTGTCATGCAATCTCTGGCATCATTTCTATCACCAAGGCCATATTTTCCAACTACTGGCGATTCTTCTTTGTTTCCAACTTTTGCATTCCAATCACCAGTAATAATCAATACATCTTGATTGCATGTTTGGTTAATTTCAGACTGCAGAAGTTGGTAAAAATCTTCAATTTCCTTGTCTTTGGCTTTCGTGGTTGGTGCATAAATTTGAGTAGTAGTATTAACTGGTCTTCCTTGTAGGCATATGGGTATCATCCTATCACTGACAGCATCGTACTTTAGATCTTGAAACAATCTTTGTGATGATGAACGCCACACCATTCCTCTTCAATTTGTCATTCTCAAGAGTAGTAGATCACATGGTTGCCTGACTCAAATGGCCAAAACCAGTCTATTTCAGTTCACTAATGCCCAAGACACTGATTTTTATGCATTCCATTTCATTGTTAACAACTTGCAGTTTTCCTAGATTTATACTTTGTACATTCCATGTTCTGATCATTAATGGATGTTTGCAGCTGTTTTTTCCCATTTTGAGTTGTGCCACATCAGCCAGTGGAGGTCCTGAAAGCTCTACTCCATCCATGTCACTAAGGTTGACTCTACTCTGAGGAGGCAGCTCTTCCCAGGTCGTATTTTGAGTGCCTTCTGACCTGAGGGGCTCATCTTCTGGCACTCTATCAGACAGTGCTTCTGGGCTGTTGATCACGTTTTCCAGTCATATATTATACCATGCTTCATTGCTATTCGTCAGGTTTTCAGTGGCCAGTAATTTGAGAAGTGGATGGCCCCTTTCTTCTTCCCAGTCTATTTTAGTCTGAAGCGCCACTGAACCCTGCCCACCACAGGTGATTCTGCTGGTATTTGAAATACCACTCACATAGCCTTCAGCCTCACAGCAACATGCAAGCCACCAGAGTAACACAAACTGGCAGACAGGGGTGGGGCTAGGGATCGAATCTTCCAAATTATGTCTTAAAAACTAGAGAGTTTTTTTTCCCCCAGTGTCAGATTATCTTCCACAGATCTTCACTTAAACCAAAATAATAATAAAATACACACTGTCATCAAGTCAATTTTGACTCAGAGTGACCTGATGTGATAAAACAGAACTGCCCTGCAGGGTTTCCAAGACTGCAATCTTTGCTGAAAAAAAAAAAAAAGCCCAAACCAAACCCACTGCTGAGGAGTCAATGGCAACTCACAGTGTCCCTAGAGGACAGAATAGAACTGCCTCAGAGAGTTTCCAGCTGTAAATCTTTATAGGACAGACTGGTAATCATCTTCCTCCCATGGAGTGGCTGGTGGGCTCGAACTCCCAGCCTTTCAGTTAGCATCCAAGAGCTCTAACCACTGTACACCAGGACTTCACCTCGTCATGAATGCGTTGTACTTGCAGAAAATTTGGAACTATAAAGGGTGCATGCTTTCAGTTTTCATTCTGCAGTTCCTAGTCAACACCTCTGCTGATGGAACCTGCATTCCCTGCAAGAAAAACCCACTGCAGAGATTCCTGGGCACTGTTCAGTCAGGAAGAGGATGGGGATCCCGGCCCGCTTTCTGGAGAGCAGTTTGAGAAGATTGGTGTGTCAGAGCTGGGCTTCTGGCAGGCAAGACTGACATGGGTAGATGGGAGTTGGGACCAGGAGATGCGGAACGTAAGCCTTCGGGAGTTCGGCAGGCAAGGAGGGAGAGAGCAAAAGAACTCTCGGAAGATGTGATGATGTCAGTTGAAGAAATTTACTTTTTAGAGAAAGAAATATTTGAAGACAGATGATTCGATGAGTTTAAGGGTTGGGGGTGAGTTTTAATCACGTTATAGAAGTAGAGGGAGGGTCAACGAAAAAGAGGAAGACCTTCCATGAGATACATTGACACAGTGGCTGCAACGATGGGATCAAGCCTAGCAACCATCGTAAGGATAGTGCTGGACAAGGCAGAGTTTCAATCTGTTGTGCATGAGGCCTCTATGAGTTAGACTTGACTCAATGGCAACAGAAGTTCAACGTTGGGAAGGACTATAATTCAGAGACTGGATGAAACGGTTAGCATCGGAGAAGAGAGAATTCCTTTTGTGTAAGCCGAGAGGGAAGGATTGGCATGCTTCTGTCTGAGGGTCCTGAGGTCAGCTATTACAGGGAGCATCGGGGTCTTAGAGAGAAGTGAGAATCATCTAGAGTGCTGAGCACAGGCTGGCTGCCCTGTGCTGGAAAGAATGATTCCATCTTGGGCCACATGGGTACAATGCTTCTTCCTTCTTGTCCTCCACTCTGCACTCCAGGGTCCATGGAGAGGCTGAGGGTGGAGATGATCTCAACACATGATGTTGATCTCCTTGGCTTCCATGCAGCTGAATGGCCTTGTCTAGTAGATGAACCTGTAGTCCTAGGAGATGTGGTGCTTGTGTTGATGGGCTCTGAGTTTTCTTGGTTGCCACAAGTCTGGCCACTAGATGAAGCTTGATTCTTTCCCTTCCTTTGCCAATGGCCTTGTAATTATGTGGAGAACAAAGAAGTGAATGAAGCCTAGCTCACAAAAGACAACAGAGAAGTCCCTAGAAGGAAGCGAACTCCCCAAGTTGCATCAGTTGTGAACGTTGCACGGAAGGATTGAAGGCACGGAAGGATTGAAGGCGTCTTGGGTCTTTTTCAAAGATTCTGTGTGGAATGCAAGGAGCCCTGGTGGTGGTGTGGTTAATGCTCAGCTGCAAACCAAAAGGGCAGCAGTTCAAACCCACCAGCTACTCCAGAGGAGAAAGATGTAGCAGTCTGCTTCTGTAAAGATTACAGCCTTGGAAACCCTATGGGGTAGTTCTTTTCTGTCCAGAAGAATTGCTATGAGTTGGAATCAACTCAATGGTAACAGGTTTGACTTTGGATTTTGATATTATCTGTTATAAGAAGCCCTGGTGGTACAGTGGTTAAGAGCTTGTCTGCTAACTGAAAGGTCTGCAGTTCAAACCCACCAGCTGCTCCATGAGAGAAAGATGTGTCAGTCTGCCTCTGTAAAGATTTACAGTCTTGGAAACACTATTGGGTAGTTCTACTCAGTCCCATAGAGTCATTCTGAGGCAGAACCAACTCCATGGCAACGGGTATGTGGGTATATGAAAAGCAATCTCAGAGGAGGTCTTCTATTTCTGGTAACAGTGGTGGTTGGCTCTTCTCTCCACACTTTGGGAATGCCAAAAAAAAAAAAACAAGCCCACTGCTGTCGGGTTGGATCCGACTCATAGCAAACCAGGTGGTAGAGTGACATGTTGGGGAGGCCCTCAGTTACTCCAGGGCAGCCATGAGGATGTGTGTGTCTCTTTGCAGGACCATGACAGCTCCTTCCCCAGGGCCCTCTCAGCTCAGAGGCTCTCCTCACGGTGGTGCTTCCTAGATGGTGAGTGTATCTCTCAGAGGGCAGTGAGGGGGTGGCAGCGCAAGGCAGTGACTGGCGGAGGGGACCCCAGCTTTCTAGAAGACTCTCGGAAGCTCTTCATGGGGCTCCGTGTAATTGCTATTTGTGTCCCAGACTACGTGGACTTGGTCACCTCGCACTTTTCTGAAGCCACTTCCTTCAGTGCATGCTGGCTAACTCTGGCTAAACTTCTCAGCATGACATTGGACCACTTGGCACCTCCCTTTTCTCACCATTTTGTTTGTTCTGAAACTTGCTGAGTGCTTGTCCCAAACTAGGGCCAGTGGGTGATTTCCATGCCCACGGGATTGGCACTCATTTGAAGTTGTTTGTGTAATCTGGACTTTTTCATACTGTTTTCATGAGGCCAGCATTTCAGGATATCTATAATTTTTTTTTTTTTTTTTTAGTGTAAAACCAATAGTGGATGCTATGAGTCCAAATTGACTCAATGGCAGTGTTTTTTTTTTTTTTTTTTTAAGTGTGAAACATCACAGTTGCCTTCAGATCTGCTGAGCACACCCTATTGAATACACCATCAGTCAGCTCAGTAATTGATTGATGAGTCCTTGATTAATGAGCTCTGGTGCCTAAGACATTTGACTGCTAACCAGAAGGTTGGCAGTTCTAACCCACCAGCCAGCCACTCCACAGAAGGAAGACTGGGCAGTCTGCTTTCATAAAGATTTACCATCTCAGAAATCCAAAGGGAGTCGCTTTGAGTTGAAATCGACTGGACAGCATGAGTTTGGTTTCTTTGTTTTGTTCTACTTCAAGCACCGCCCACTCCCCTAGGTGCTGTCCGGTCCTGCTTCTATATTCAGCACCCCATGTTCCATGACAGATCATCCCACTCTTCCTTATAGATGCCCAGTGTCTCTGTTGACTCCAGAGACTGTGGCCTGACATGCACTGTCTTCCTCTCTGTGATGTCTGTGTGCACATGTTGGATGAGGATAAGAACATGCAGATAGGCGGGGGTAAGCAGCTCTATGAGGCCGGGGGCATGGACCTCTGTGAGCACTAGCCCCCATAAGTCACGGGGCAGGTTTACTCTGACGGCTCACCTGCTGCCCCTGAAGATAACTTGCACTGTTTCCCTCTAGCTGTCAGGACCACTGTCGCAGGTTGCCCCAGAATCCACAGAAGAACAACTTATTTTAAAGAAAATCATAAAAAACAGTTATGTCCATTATTCTGCCCTATATTCAGCCTTAGGATCTCTGTTGGTGCTTCCCAAAAATCTGCAGTTCAAACCCACCAGCCACTCAGCGGGAGACAGGCAAGGCAGTCTGCTTCCGTAAAGGTTTGTAGCCTTGGAAACCTAGGGGGCAGTTCTCCTCTGTCCTACAGGGTCACTATGAGCCAGAATTGACTCAGTGGCGGTGGGTTTTGTTTTGGTTTTTGATTTGTATATGGTCTTGGGAAAAAAATACAAGTATGGATAATGGTCTTAACCGATATATTAATTTAACCCTATAAAGTGTTTCACAAGAGACCTTAAATTGGAAAGGTAATTACGTGGTATGTGCAGTCAAGTTGAGTTTGACTCACTAATGTAGAACTCACAGTAGAGCTGCCCCAGAAGGTCTCCTAGACTCTGATCTTTACAGGAACAGATTGCCAGGTCTGGCTCCAGAGCTGCTGGGTGGGTTCAAACCGCCAACCTTTTGATTAGCCACCAAGCCCTTAGCCATTGTGCTGTTGGGGATCCTGTTCACATACAGGTAGTATAGTCCTGGGAAAGAAGCACAGAGTTGGGCCTCCTTTTCTGGGCTGATTCTCCTCCTTGCTCTTTCTTAGAGGGCAGGGACCACGACTGGCCTGTTTCTTTGCTCAGTTCTCTTCAGAGAGAAGCTGTTCATTAAATATTAGGATTTTAAGTGGCTACTTGCACTTTGAGGTTTCCCTAGCACTGTACTCTTTTTAGACTATCTATTCAGATTTTGGGGGGCTCTATTAGATAGATTTAAGCCAGGAAGAACATAATTCTTTCTCATATTCAGACTAATCAAAATAGTTTTTAGAAACTGATAAAGTTTGTAATTTAGTATTTAGATCAGATGTGCCTGATCTCTTTTGTTGTTGTTGTTGTTACGTGCCGTCGAGTCGGCCC